TGTTTTAAGACCGGATGTAGAGTTGTATATTTGCGGTAGCTTTATTTTGCGGTCAATTGCTACAGCGAAGGTGGACTCCAAAATCATGTCCAAAATATGAAAACAGAAAGATCGTGTGAAGTTACAAAGAGGAGAAGGTGGGAAAACTCACCTGTGCTGTGTCATTAACAAAATCAAATGATCAATTTTGATGTTTGAAGAGTGTAGATCGATTGGTTGTTTACATCACTCAACACAAGCACAACTGCATTACAAAGTCAGAAGACACATCGTCCACATTCAGAAGCACATTTCTGTATAGTGACAGTTCTTATGATTTAAACAGGCAAATGTTCACCTTTTAAACTATCAGGAGCCACGAGTACTGATATTTGCATGTGCCTTTTATTTTATGGCTTGTTTATGAGTGAAGTGACCATTCAATTTAGGCCACAATGCACCCCAGCTAAGACTCAGGGCTGCAGCAAGGGTTGTATTTTCAGAATGTTTGGGAATGAGTGTGTGTGGACTCACCAGAGTGTTTAATTATCCTGTTTCATTCAGTATTAGTAACCTAGTGATTGAACAGTAATGAACACCACTTTATCAGTGCTACATATTAATTTACCACTAAACGCAAGTGATTTTACTTCACTAACTAAAGTGAAACTGTAGCATTTCAAATGATATGCTCATCTTTAGGTTTAATTATACAATTAATATATTTATTATGAGCATCAACAAGGGAATATCAAAAGTAAGCTACAGTGTAGAGACCCAGGCCGGCTCACAGATACATGAGACTAATGTTACATGTTGGGTCTGCGCTCTTGGAGATGAATGCTCCTCACCTGTTTCCCAGCCAACTTCAAAGAACAGCCTTCCCTGCAGCCTTTTATTCAGTGAATACAAGCACCACCCACTGTAACACCCATGTGGTCACAAAAGGTTAAAACTCTGTGTCTGTGTGCATGCATGTGTGAGCACATGTGTGTGTGTGTCTCTGTGTGTGTGACTTCCTGGTTACAACCGTTTTAACAATATCCCTGGTCATAAAAAGGGTCATCTCCCCTGACACTGTATATGGCTTAATTCATTTAATGGTCTCAACATACACAAGCACAGGTGAGGCCATAAATGGCAAGAAGTAAACATCCTCACTAAATAAGGACAGAGAACCTTCACATAGATGTACCTGCAGTTAAACACTATAACTAATTGCTTCCCCCACATCCTAGATGTGTAGGGGAGGAGAACAGAAGAATATCTAAACATGCAGTTCAAGGCAAGGTTTACAAATTTAATTACAATAATGGCAACATTTAATAATTCACTCTAACATTACACTTGCTAATTTTTAAGGGGGCCTGAAGGCCAGTACATGAATATGCACTCAAGCACAGACCAAACACAGAAACTTTAGATGGATTTCTAACAAGCTTTATTACAAACACTAAAGTTAACTTGGAACACGGGGGAGATATATGTCCCATAACTCTAAACAAAGGAGAACAGAAGGGCAGCGAGGGAGGCTGAATCAGAGGAAAATGGTGATTACAGGGTTTGAGTGGCTTACTTGGGCAGGCGGGGTGCGTGAGGCTCTGAGGGGAGAGGTGATGGTCTGGGTGGTGTCTAGGAAGGTGAGTAAGTGCCACTTTTTCTGCACACAATTCCTTGATTTTCCATAGACCGGAGGTCAGGCAGGTATGTGCGGTGGAGACATCATTCTTGGATGGTGGAGCACTGAGTGGAGGTAGAGTGAATCTTGTCATAGAGACCAGCGTCCAGAGAATGTGTGCGGCTGAGGGTATGAGTGATGGCTTGAAGAGGACACTATGGCCTAAATAGAACAAGGTAAGCAAACCAGCTTAACTGAGAACATGAACATAGAGGGAGTTTTACCAACGTGAGTTAGCTAATGAACTAGCAGAAGTAAAAGGCCCTGTTAGCTCCTTTGTAACGTGAATGTCTTTATTCTACGTCCTCATTTGTGTTGCTGAAAACAAACTGTAACACCTGTACAGAGTTTTTTGTGGCTGACTGCTACATACTTGTGTTGCGAAACTAGAATTTCCTGGTTACTGTGCGCTGCAAACTAATTTAAAGCCTAATTGTCTAATTTAAAGCCACAATCAGCCAATAACACAATTCAACAGTTTTCTCCTGTGGTTAGCAGCAATAAAAGCTGAATTTTGTCTCCTGGGTCCATATCTGGCCTCGTTTGGGTTCTTGACTTCTTTTAAGAGAGTGATTAAAATCATTTCAATATCAATCAATCAATCAATCAATCAATCAATCAATCAATCAATCAATCAATCAATCAATCAAAGCAGAACAAAAACATATACATGAGAAAAATAATTAGGAAACACAGCGCAGAGGAACACACAGCATTGAAGGAGGACACAACAAGGAGAGACAATAAATACAGCCCAGGTATAGAGGGGAGAGGAAACAAGTGGGAGGAGAGCTGTAGCAAATCAGGTTTAATGAGACAAGGGAAGTTAACCTACATATGCAAGAGACGAAAGACCAGAGACAAACATTAAAACACAGAGGCAAGACACGAAAGGGCGAGACATAGAGTGTGAACATAAAATGCTTTTCCAACCCAAAAGAATTACAAACTCACAAAAGCTCAAACCGCTGACCGTGAGAGGAGAAGATGAAAGGTCATCTTCTCCTTTCATCTGCTTCCTTTTAGGGTTGTGACAGCAGATCATCTGCCTCCACCTCACGTTAACAATCTGCATGTCCTCCTTCACCACATCCTTAAACTCCTTTGTCCAGTATGTCCACTATCCCTCTGCTGCACATGTCCAGACCATCTCAGCATGTCCAAACTGCTCAGCTTGAGCTGTTCCTCAGATGTACTCATTTCTAATCTTGTCCATTCTGGTCACTCACAATTAAAATCCGGACATCTCCAGCTCCACCTCCAGCCACTGCAGGTCTCACTACCATCATGTAAACCTTCTCTCTCACTCTTGCTGCTATCTTTCTGTCAGAAATCACCCTTGAAACTCATCCTTATCCATCCTTCGATCCATCCAACGTAATGGACAGAGTTCTATTCTGTCTCGCTTCTAATGACTTTCATTCCTTTTCTCTCCAGGGCATACCTCCACCTCTCCAGGCTCTCTTCCACCCTCTACTACTCTACTCTCACTACAGATACAATGTCCTACACCACCCTCACATTTCACAGCCACTCATTTCTTCCTCTTGCAGTACCACAGTCACTCTTTGCACCCTAACATATGCTTTCTCATTTCCTCAAAGGCTCTCCTTCTGACCATATCTCCATCAACACTCTCAAAGCAAACATGAAACCTGTAGTGCTTCTTCTCAGCGTGAAGCTTAAACGGTGCTTAAACCGGTGCTTAAAGAATGGAGAACACAAAATTGGTCCAAAAACCTCTCATGTTCAGCTGTTTTTTGTAAAAAGATAACAATGTTAGCCTTTTCTGCAGATATGGGGCATATATGGTATCACTCTTGGCTGGAAGCAGTGCTTAAACAATGGAAAAAACACAAACTTTGTCCAAAACCTCTCATGTTTAGCTGTTTCCCACTTTTTCTTTGGTCATTTTAGCCTTTTTGGCCAGGGTGAAGGGAGTATCTGCCATCAAACAAGAAGACAGCCGCATTTAACTATGACTGTTTGCTAGTTCACCTTACATGCATTAATTTAACAACGTGGTTAGCCTACTCAACGTAAATTACACACGGACAATATTAAGCTACTCACGCAGAGAAGAACGGCTGCTGCTGCATCATCATCCTCATCATTTCTGCTACACTGGCAGGGCTAGGAGCCAGGACTCTCCTCTTCGGGTTTTTGGGGGATGTTGCTAACTCCGGGTCAGATAACAGGTAACCCACCCGCAGTAGATGTGCTCGGTGTGAAGTCTCGCAGCAAGCTATCAAATACGGCGCATTTCTCGGCTTTTAACAAAATGCTATACGCCAGGTGTTTCATCAGATTCGAGGTGTTACCTCCTTTGCACAGTATCACCTTAAAGCACTTGTTGCAGGCTGCTGAGTTTGCATCTTTTGCTATGAAGTACAGCCAGACTTTTGACCGCTTCGCCTTGGGCATTTTTAATCTGTAGCTCTGCTCTAAAAGAACGTACGTACATGGGCCCGCCTACTATCCTTGGAAAGGTAAAATGATTGGCTGGAATCCAAAGTGTGTGACATCTCAGACAAAAAAAAAGCACTGAAATAAAGCACCGAAATGTGCGCTGCTTTTCGGTCTGGTTACTACCGTTTATGTCAGAACCGGTGCCATTATGGCACCGGATACCGGTACCCATCCCTACTTACCATAGTATATATACAGTGTATACCACAATAAATTGGTACTACAGTAGTATAGGCATTTTTGTCCTTCATCTTATATTTGCCTGGTTCTTCTCTGTGAACTTTATAGTGCACTTTAGCAGGAACAATGAGTTTGTAAAATGTGTATTTAATTCACAATGCAAAATGTTTAAAATCATAAGTTTTAGATGCCAAATAAATGTTACCAGCATCTGATAAGAGATCAATTCCTTCAATGTGAAAACTTGCTGCTTCCGGCTCTAACCATAATGTAAAATGTTTCTGTGCTAGTATGCTAACAACCACAGACACATTTGCACACAGACTTCATACAAAAACCACACATACGTATGCATCTGTTTCCTTCATACCATTGCTCTCTCTTATTTTCCACACGCTAACCCTGATGTCTTCTTGTTTAACCTTAAATATTAGGATTTATTTGCAACAGGCTAAAGTCTTTACAGCACCACACACACACACACACACACACACACACACACACACACACACACACAGGGACACACACGTCTACCCTAATATCTTCGTCACCTCTTGTATTTTAATCATAGCATTTATGAATGAACAGAAATGTCCGGTTTATCATTAATTAACTGAAGTGTAGTTTAGCTGCATTTGGCAGATTTTTTTTTCTTTCTCTGATCCAGCAGATGATGCATCGCTTCCTGGGCTTTGAAGCGTTTCTTTTTCTCTCTGACACCTGCCATATTTGCTGCATTCATAGCTGGCTACAGCAGAGAAACCATGCACAGCAGATTTCCTGTTTATGAATTCCACTTTTCTTACATTCAGATAAATTTGTGTGGATTAAAAATGATTCTGCTTCTGAGTTTTTGGATTGTTACAGGTAAGCTGAATGAAAATGTTTGTGTTTTTTGCATAACTAATGCCAAACTTAACCTAATGTTAATTTATCAAATCATTTTTTAAAGATATGTATCAGAGATTTCATTGGGGAAATGACTGTCACTGTAAAGAATGAATAAAAGTTTAATAAGTGAAATTAAATGTAAAAATTATTACTCTCAGCCTAACGTGCTATTAAAAACCCGCTGAAATATATCAAAGTGTTTTCCTTTATCATACACTTACTTCAATATATGTATTGTATTTATGGTGTGATTTTAAAGTGTAATAATGTGTTTTAATACTTTTGCTGCACGGTTTCCTCTTAGGTCTCATGGCAGAGGACCCAACAGCGACATATTATCGACTGAAAAACAGCTCAGTGTGTCTGAATGTCAGGAAACCGCCACCATATAAACGTGGTGAATGGAAATATAACATGATATTTATTGCTGATGATACAGAAATCAACCCAAAATACAAAGACAGAGTGGTTTATAGTGCTGGGAACCTCTCCTTGTGTATTAATAACCTGGCTGATACAGACACTGGGATATATGAACTCTCATACCGCTTTAACTATACTACAGTGTCAGAGAAGCATCAAGTCATTGTTCAAGGTAAGTTATAAGCAGAACTTTGTCTTTAGCCTCTAGCCATGAATCTGTTTTACATATTATATTTTTCTGGATTTAGTAGCATTTGTCTTACTAAATTTAAAATTCAAATTTTTTTAAAGCTTTTAAATTTACTTGTGACTGAAAGAAAAACAGAATCAGTTCTTGTCTTTAATCACAACATCATATATCCTACAATTTTAGAATCATCCAGGTCATTGTTAGTTCTCGTTTTTGCATTAAATCATTAATTTATCTGTTTGGCTCCATGTCACAGATGTGGTTCCCAGACCTGTCATTATAATGTCAAAGCTTGGCTCCAACCAGTCTGCTGGACGCTGCAATATCACAGTAAACTGCTCCATTCAGGATCATTGGCTTTGGTCTGTTTGTGATAAAGACGGCTGCAGAAGATCACAGAAATCATTCAGTAAGGTCAACATCACCATCTTAACTGAGAACAGAGCTGTGGTCTGCAGAGGCAACAACAATGTTAGCACAAATAAAGCTTCTGAAAACTTAACACTGTGTAAGTATGAAATATTAATTATAAATAACATGCTGTTGATTCTTTTCACATTAAATAAAATGCAATATTTTCTTCCACCTTTCTTGATATTTCCCCTGTTATTTATATATGTACAGTGTTGTTTCTTGTCATAAAATTATTAATTTTTTAATGTCTGAAAAGAAAAATATTGCTCAATAAAGTTGTGTTTTTGTGTCTGCAGGTTTCAATGACTCTAATCCTGATAATAGAGAGGAAACACAACACCCTCCACCAACGAGAGCGCTTGCATTTATTATTGTTTGTGTTTTACTCGCCTGCGTCTTCATAACAGTTTCTCTCTTTTTAGTTAAAAGATTATTTTCAACAAAATGGAAATCCTACCAGGTAAGCTGCATTCACTAACAGATTTATATCTGTGTATATTTTATATTATATAACTTGTGCAGTGCCACAGTTATGTGGTGTCATAATGTGACTGAATATTTGACTTCATTATTTACAGGCTCCAACAAATACTATCCGCTCAATACAAAGCCAGCCCATTAGTACTCTGCCATCATCTCAGTCTAGATCCTCTACTGCATCTTCATCAAGTGATGCTGACCCTGCTTATGAGAACGCAGACATCCTTCAGTACAGCCAGACCAACAGCCCAGGAGAGCAAATTAACTCCATGGCAAGCTACACAATAGATACCATCTACACTCTTCCAGGAGTGAAAAGCTCTTCTGCTGGCAACAACACACAAAATACTTCAGAGACTGCCACAGTGGAGGAGGCACAACAACGGCCCACACAGGTCGACACAGTTTACAGTGTGTTGCAGAAACCAAAAAATCTGAATGTATAGCACCACCCAGAGGCCAAACTGGACTTTTGAACAGTGAGAAACAAAAGTAAACGAGAGAACAGAAACTGTACAAAGAGAGTGAACATTTTGTATTAACACACAAATATTCCAAAAATGACCAAAGCGCTAAAACAAATAAAAGTTTAGTTTAGTTAGTGGACACTTGACAATACTTTTTGAAAATGAAAATAACACTGTATATATTGTTGTTGTTGATTTTTTTTTACGTTTATGCTTTGTATAAAGTGTGTTGCTTATGAAATCCATGAAGCTCTACAGAGTAAATAAAGTTTTTATTTATGCAATAAACACATTGCGAACATTGTGAGCTCTTAACCCTCTGCAGGGGAGGTGGACACACCTGAGGAACATCTGCAATCACGCCTGGCCTTAAAGCAACCGTGTGTGAAAAGTGGTCAATAAAGAGTTGCTGAAAACCATTTTCATGCAAACATCGTCGGGTTTACAATAGGACTTCTGGTCCTGAACCTCTGCGCAGAGCATCTGCAAATCGGAGCTGTACAAAGTCACTGTCATCTTTAAGACTGTAAGCTGTCGTCTGCGAGGCTTGTTTGTTTTTAACATAGTTCACGGTGGAGAACAGCTGCTCACATACATATGTGGATCCGAAGATCAACAATCCACAAATTAGGCATGCTGGTAGGCTGCTCTTGTCAGAACTAAATGCAAATGAATATGCCCATTAAATATTTTATTTTCTTCAGATATTTTTATTTTCTTAAATTACTCCATACTTGGCCTACCTGGGGCTGAAAGTCTCGATAAATGCACAGCTTTTGGCAGGTATATACTGGCTTCCACAAGTGTGACGCTTATTTTGCGTGATGCAAAATAATAAAACATAATGTTATTTTAATATTTGAAGATCACAATAATCTTCCAGTTTAGAACTATAAGTTAAAAAAAAGAACTATCACAAATATAATACACTTTAACTAAATACTTATAATTTATTTTCCCAAGCCATGGGGAGCCACAGTATAAGGATAAAAGAGCCACAGGAGAACTATAACACTTTACAGTACAACATAGATTCTCTGCAGGGTTCAGTGCAGGTGAGTTGGCTGGCCAAACACAGTAAAAATATGAGCAGCAAACCATTTGTTAGTAGGTCTGGCACTGTGAGCAGGTGCTAAGTACAACTGGAAAAGGAAATTAGCATAGCCATAAAGCCAGTAGATGGTAGACAAGTCAGGTGCATTGACTCTGGACTTAATAAAAGACAGTGGGACAATGACAATCAGATGGTATGGCACCCCAAATCAATGCATGCAGAAGTGTCACACTGGATTTCAGTCATCACAGATTTTGTGGGTCTTCACTCATTCTGCCAAAAGTCGCCCTCCATACTCTAGGGTCTTAATAGAGCTGGGCGATATAAGATTTTTTCATATCACGATATGTTTTTTTCATTTCAGGCGATAACGATATCTATCACGATATAAGCCAAATAACTATATTTGTAAGATTTAAATGTGCCGTTGCTCACAAGTAAAATGT